ACAACCGTTCATTTTTCGTTTTTCAGTTACGGGTTAAAAAAGATAAATAATAATATGCAAATCTGCAATAATGGAAACGCGACTGACAAGCAATGATAGAAATGAATGATGATGATGACTTGTTTGGTAAGCTTCTATTTTAAAAGTTTCTTTCTCTCCCCCCAAAAATTTTCACAAGTTTTGCCAGGTTTAGCCTCAGTTATGAATTAAAATGTGTTTATTGCAACTAATGTAAACTGTAGAGATGCAACCTGGTCATTAAAATAATTTCAAATGGGATTTTCTTTTCAGTTTTTTTTTCTTCGTTTTCTCCCCCGCCACTTTGGCGGCCCTCAGTTCAATGTTGGGTTCCTAAATTGGCCCTCACCTATCAAAACTTTGAGAACCCCTGAACTAAATCAATCATCGAACTTGACGCGCGAATGAGGCGTATTCGCGTCTACCGCGCCGCGCTCTACGCCTCATTCGCGCCGCAGGAATCTTTTACGCGCGTAACGCGTCTTTGCATTGACTTAACATTGAAATCACTCGCGCCTGACGCGCTATTCGCGTCCGGTGTGAACGTAGCATAATAACCCTAGCTTTCCTAATTGTTATGTCCATACACATCGACAGATTCGACACACAAAAAACTTGTGAAACAAAAATGTGATGTTTTCTGGCTGCTGTTTCAATGCCACACATTTACATTTAATCATTTAGTAGACGCTTTTATCCAAAGTGGTTTACAAATGAGGAGAGAAAAAGTAGCAGTTAAACCAACAATAGGACAACAATATGTAAGTGCTATGACCCTTACCAGTTTAATCTAACGCAGTATATGTGATTTATTTTTAAATAGATATAGAATAGAAAAGAAGAGAAAATTAAAATAGCTTTGTGAAACCGGCCCCTGCAGTGGTGGCTCAGGACCAAGGGGTTTTCACACAGGGGCAATCCTTTTTGCATGATCAAAGTCACGCAGCGATGCTTACGTGGCTTTTCTAGCCAAGTTTCCACTACTAAAAATATTCAAGTTAAGATTACATGATCATTTTAAGTTTTGTATGAATTATCTTACTCACATAAGTTAAAAGCAATTCAAATATATGATTACAAAATAAATTACTTTCCTCTTCATTCCTCTTGAACTGAATTGTTTGCATCATTGATTCTGTTGTTTTCCTGTTATTAACTGTGAATCAATCTATATTGTTTTAAACACTAAATAAAGATGGATTGACTTATTCATAAACAAGTATATTCATTTTGAGTCTAAATATGGTTATAAAAAAAAAGTAAATGCCAATGGTTATAAAAACAAAACAAGATAACATTTGATAACATCTGTCTCTTGTGTGAAAATGTGAGATGAATTTAGTGAACATTGTCCAAAAATAAAGAAGAAGTGAAAACACTGATGGAACCAGTAGAACAAAACATCTTTTGGATTTATCATTTTAAAAATGCTGGTATCTATCTAGCTTTAACTATAGCATGTATCCGATAATTTCACTAAAACAGATGTCCTACATTAGATGAGAATGAGATGCTGGCTAACAGGATGATATTTATTATAACTCTGTGAGAAAAGCTTGTGTGAGTTCTGACTGCAAACACATTCAATGTTACGGTGAGAATGAGATCTAGAGACAAACAGTTCAGTGGATCAGTGTCAGAAGAACAGAAGATCACATAATCATCTATATTTATTTTAATTGTATTCATCCTTTATTTTCCCAGGAAGGTCCCATTAAGATTCAAATAAATCTCTTCTGCTGGATGGCCGTACTAAAATTGTACACAATTTCACATAAACATAACAAATTCTAACAAAAAGCACAAAAAAAAAAGAAAAGAAAAGAAAAAAGGATCAGATTGAGATTGAAATATCAGAGTTCAAGAAGTTCAACTACGTGAAAACTAAATAACTATAACTATAAGTAACTATATTTTGGTCAGCCTCAAATCAATATATTTTTTAACAATAGCTAAAGTGACATCAAACAGTTTATCGATCATTTATAGGCTACTGAAAATATGCTTAATTTTCATCCATTCCTAGGGTTGAGGGATTAATATTCATGGAAAATAAAATTTCTTATTTTTCTTTTGGATTTGGGGTGAATTATGTTATACCTTCACGTGCTATCAGAATGATCGCAAACAATTTTCATGTAAAATTGGACATGATCGAAGCCCTCTCAAGTCATATTTACTTCTAAAAACTGAAGTAAACGGGAGACATACATTTTCTCTTTGTAGATCGATACGGAGAGGAACAAGGAACGAGGAACAAGGAACAAGGATAAGCTCAAGGGTGCTTCTCATTTCTTATTTGTGCATCCTCGCTTCCTTTCCTCGTGTCTCAGCTCCACCCCCTGCAGGACGCGAGGAAGGCTGCAAGGAAAGAAAATGAGGACGGAGGAATTGAATGAAAGCTTTTTTATACATTGGAATACTTGATCACTCGAGCGTCACTTCACTGCGTCATCAGCAGTGCTCAAAGGATCTGCCCTTATGTTGTTAAAGTTTGTTTATTTAAGAAATTCATAATAATAATAAAGCAAGATACCTTGTTGAAATATGTGAGATGTGTGGTTTATATAAACTGCATAGGTCAAGTATAAATTCAAATGATTGTGACAGATGTGAAGGGGGAGGAGAATTGATACATGCGTCATGTTTAGTCGATAAAACTCTTCCGCAAAGGGTACACCTGTGTATCCTCGCTCATAGCTCCTCTGGAAGCTCCTCACTCCTCGCTCCTCACTCCTCGCTCCTCACTCCTCGATCCTCACTCCTCGATCCTCACTCCTCGATCCTCACTCCTCGATCCTCACTCCTCGATCCTCACTCCTCGATCCTCACTCCTCGATCCTCACTCCTCACTCCTCGATCCTCACTCCTCGATCCTCACTCCTCGATCCTCACTCCTCGATCCTCACTCCTCGATCCTCACTCCTCACTCCTCTAACCTCACTCCTCGATCCTCACTCCTCACTCCTCGATCCTCACTCCTCGATCCTCACTCCTCACTCCTCGATCCTCACTCCTCGATCCTCACTCCTCGATCCTCACTCCTCGATCCTCACTCCTCGATCCTCACTCCTCACTCCTCTAACCTCACTCCTCGATCCTCACTCCTCACTCCTCGATCCTCGCCTCCTCGCGGTGCAATTAGAGAATTGAGATGTCCTTCAAGATGGCTGAGCTCGATCGGTTTCCGGGTCATAGGATGGAGGACGGAGGAGCGAGGAGACGAGGAGGGATATTGAGAAGCACCCCAAGTCAACGGTTCTTATGAGGTGATGGTGACAGCAGGTGATTAATATTCAGCTGATTGCGATCTGTGTGTAGACTGGGGATTTCCTGGAGGTGAGCAGGAGGGATTGTGGGAAATGTAGTGTTGGATGGTGACCCTGACAATTATATTTTAGATGCCTTTTACATTTGTGATGATTTAAAAAAAAAAAATGTGATGGTGTCTCTCACATGAGGATCATATTTGGGGATAAGTGGCATCTAAAAGACTGAAAAGCCCTGAGATAGCATGATAAATGTTTATGTGGTTCAATGGTTGTAAATGATTGGTTATTTTATTATGCTATTATAGATTATTAGATTAATAGATTACAGCAGTGGAGCCATCAAATCAATCATATGTCACGACCAAACGTTAGCGATTGGTTATGGCAGATAGAGTGACTCTGGGCAGATCCAATAGTTTTAGACTTCAATAGAATACCCGCCTACAAGGAAGTTAACGCTTGTCAATGGAGCGGTGCCAGACTCTCTGTACAAATGAAATGTACGAGAGTCTGGTAGAACCAGGCTAGGACTACCCCTCCCCCCTCCCAGCATTTTCTGGTTGTTGGGTTTGTCTGATTTGATCTGTCCTCGATATCAGTTTATCTGCTCTTATCTTCTCTGGTATTTGAGAGACTCGTCTTCTGTGATCTGTCTCTAGCATTTTAAGCACTTTCTCTATTGATACTGCATTCTGACGAACTGTACATGAAGCGAACACCCTTACAAATTAAACATCTATTCTTCTCAACTGCAAGGTGAGTCATATGAACATTTTTACTTTTTTACTCTTTGTGATAAAATAGTAAAGATTGTTTTCATGAGGTCTTAGAGATGAAATCAAAACTGTCTAGCTTGAACTCGTATTGGCGTTTTGACAAAAATATTCCAAACAGTGATTTGATCTGTCGTTTCTATTTCTGTTTCTGTAACCCGCAAGCTATAATGCAGATAATTTCCTCAACGTTTGCTGGCAAAGCTTCATAAATAATTGAACAGTAAAAACTGCTTAAAATTTGGATTTAATTAAATGAGTAACTGTAGGCTACCATAATGCACTTATGTCCACTTAAACTAAAAGGTCTGATGGCAATTGCCGGCTCTGAATGCATTGTCCCATTTAAAACTTTAACGGTCAATTAAAAAATATCGGTACTGTAAACTGTGCCGTTTCGTTTTCCACTAGATCAATATGCTCTATTAATTCATTTAGTCGAATTTAACGCACCCTTGTGTGGTTGAGAAATGCTGAATTTCTTAATTCATTTCTAACAGAGCTTGTTGCGAGAAGCGTCGCGTCATTTAAAGGGGAGGTCCACGCGTCAATAAATAACATTCAACACAATAACTGGATTCAGCATCGGAGGAACTTCATTCAGCTCAACAGAAGCAGAGAGCAGATCTGTGCTGGAGATTCCCTCTTTTCAGATTATCATAAAGTGAATATAAAACTTTGTCTTTAATTATTTAGTAAAGGGATGCTTATTAATTAATATATTTATATATGGACATGTTTTTTGTATTATAGTGAAACTGAAATGTACTATAGACCTGTAGCACAGCACAACGACATTAATTACATTTTTAACTTTTTAAACAGATTATACAAAGCTATAGTGTAATCGCACTGGAGAACATATGGAGCATCACAAACTGCAGGATTATTAAACATATGCGCAAGAGAGAAAGAGAAAAATGGTGGACAAAAAGTTATCTAATGAGCCGAAAAAGACGCCGAGACTAGTCAGAAAAAACAGCATTAATAGTGGCAAACCAAACTGTGAGTATATTTATGATTTTTATGATTTATTTTATGCTGTTTTTACTTTCACTGGAGTCAAATCGATTCTAAACTGTCTTTTCATTCACTATACATAAACTTTACAGGAAAAGCTGTCGTTAATGAATATCTACATTGGAACAAAAGAGTAACACAATACTATAATTCTAGTAACTATTAACAAGAAACTCTGAGTTGTCACACACATCACGGTTCAAAACTTACCACACATGCCATCATGACAAACTTAGTGTATATTTAATATGGTCGTGTTATAATCAACTCCACCTATGGGGCATGTTGTCATTTCACTTCCATTCTTTCTGTGTAAATCAAGAAAAAGGCATACACTGTAGTAATAAAACAAAACCACATAATTGTACTAGACATGTGAAATTAATGTGGGGACAAATAACTGAACCCTCAGTAGATTTACACTGTAAGGGGATTTACAGTCAAAGACCCAGAACCAGATATGATGAATGAAGACCCAGAATTATAATAAATTGAAGAAAAGTTTTACTGAAGATAGTTTGTACATGTACTGCACATTTTGTCGAATCTGTAAGGACCGGTATATGTACAATTATTTCCACAACTGCATGTATTTGGCAGATGCTTTCAAATAAAGTGACACTGATTCATGAATTATTCTTTCATCAGTAGCAGTTGAGACCATCACACGCTCTGCTGTTTGAGCTACACACGAAGGCTATAATCAGATTTTTCTGTTTTTCATTCCCAGTTTCTGACATTGCAGAGTTTCAGAAGAGTCTCAAACAAGGTGAGAGATTTACACATACAGAAACGTCTAAGGGTTACCATGTTCCCCTGGCTCCTTTTAGAGGGAACTCAACGCTGTGTTAGTTACTATCCCTATGTGGAACCCAGTGTGTGTGTGTGTGTGTGTGTGGACAGAAGAGAGGTGGTGAGTTCAGGTCGAGCTAGCTCACGCCATGAGGACACGCAACAAGAACGAGTGCAATTGACAATGAAAGCCGAGGAGATTTACACTGTGAGATGATGAGTTGATTTAATATACTCTCGTTCATAGAGATCTTTAGATTGATACTGAGGCTTTTTAGGTTGTGTGCAATCTGCAATCTCTGACCCAGTTTGTTTGCTGGCTGCAATGATGCAAATACGCTGTTTCCTAACAACTGACACCCCGGGGTGTCGAAACACTAGTGTGTGAACTGGCAGTGGGCGAGATCACACACACACACACACACACACAACACCCCCCCCCCCCCCCCCCCCCCCTATTATGCATACCAAACATATTATGGTATTTTTATGCTTTAGTACAGTACAAGCTTACATACATCAACTTTAAGGCCCAACTTTTTTGAGTGGACATAAACCACATTCAACCTCCCCTGTCTAGTTCTACACTCATAAGCATATCTGTCAGGTGACGATATTATCGCCACAAGTTCGCTAAGGAAGTGTGCTATACTGCACTAGCACATCCTATCCTGGAGGGCAACAGTGGGTGTAGTCCACTTAGGGCTGGACAATAATTCAATGTAAATATATTGCGATATAATTTTTTTCAATAACAGTGATATGTGTAGTCCACTTCATTCAATCCATCTGCCCATTCCTTAGAAAGTGTGCAAATATAGTGATTATATTTACACAAGTGTAACGGAGGCCAGCTAGTAGTTGCTGTGCGAGTAAACTTCACTCCTCTGATCTCAATAGGCGCTCTAGCGACAGATGCTAGGGGCTGCCGTCTTTAGCCTCCTTGTTAGGACGCCTGACTCTCATGCCGGAGACCCGGGTTCGAGTGGGTATACATTCGAGTGGGACCCGGGTGGAGGGGTTACACAAACACCAGATGGAAGTGATATGAAAACATCACACTGTAAAAAGTAATTGTTGATTCTACTTAAGAAAAACTAGTGAATTTAACTTACTTTGAAAACTCAGTTGATTTAACTTGATTACACTGTGTACTGTGAACTTTTAGGTGAAACTAAACAAATCTAGTACATTGTACTTAAGATTGGTAAGTGTATTGTACTAAAGGCATGTTCACACTGTTGCAAATATCTGGAGCACAGAATTTGCATATAATAATAATAATAATAATGAAATTAATAACATTTTTAGTAAATACCATACAATTAGAAACGGTTTGATGATAGCTATAGCTATATATATATATACATACGCGCACACACACGTGCGTGTGTATTTATTTATTAATAAGCCATCGGCTGCTACTGCTTCACAGTACTTATTTGTATTACAGAGCTTTATATATTTACTGGTCGTTGGTTATGAAGTTTCAGCATGAGACGAAACAACTCGGGGTTTTTTTCATCTCGCGCATGCGCATTTGCCCAATTGGACGGTTGAACTTGAAGAAGACGACATCGACGAAGAACTTCATCTCGTGTTCGGGATCGGGATGCGGCAGCAAAACTAGGTATGCTAGCCTCTTGAACAACTATTTATCAACTTTAATGTTATTGTATTGCTTAAAAACAGAATTTATTTAGCTCATTGTGCAGTAAGAGGAAAAGGCACACTGAAGTTACGTTAGTTTTATGTCGAATGAGACCAGTTGAGACAAGTGGCTTACTAGCTAACGTTAGGTTGCAAAAATCGATTTTTACTGAACACTGTTTTATGTACAGTTTGTAAGCTGTGTTAATCGTTTATAAGTTCGGGGATTATCATTAATAATATGTAAATCCTGGCTGTGCGGCCTAACGTTACTTTCATTCTGTCTAGAAAGTTCGATGCTCACGTGTCGTTCACATGGAAATTAACAACACGATGCATTAATTAAAATAGTGTAACTAACAAGCAGGTATTAGCTTATTTTGTCTTTTTATTTTGTGACAGATTCACTCAACGTTTCACCAATAACTTCAAGACTTAATGTGGAGACATTGGCTGCAGCAGATTAAAATGACGTAAGCTCATCGCAATTATGTTTCGATAGCAAAACAAATGTTGCTTTTGCTGTTGTTTTTTTGCTCTGTGTTGTGCTAGTGTCGAGCGCTATTCAATATACATTTTTATAACTTTGCAGAAATCCAACATCAATGCGGAACAAACAGCCGTTCTTCATGGCCTACCACTCCTTCTCGGAGAGGACCCCACCGATTTTTACAAGACATGTTTTGTAAGTATTTTTTTCTCTGATGTGGTTCTTATTTAACAGGCAAACTGTTCTTCAAACAGTTGATATCTGGCAAGAAGAGTTATGAAGGCAAGAAAAACAGTCAGGACATTGAAACAAAGTAAGGGTTAGAGAAAAGAAAGTGAAAGATACGTTTTATTTATTTGTTTGTTTCACATTTTAATGAGTATGTGCTCTTAAAGGGATAGTTCACCCAAAAATAAAAATTCTGTAATTTACTCACCCTTATGTTGTTCCAAACCTGTATGAGTTTCTTTCTTCTGTTGAACACAAAATAATATGTTTCGAAGAATGTCGGTAATGAAACAGTTTAGTTTACCCATTGACTTCCATAGTATTTTTTCTAACTATGGAAGTCAATGGCTACTCTCAACTGTCTGGTTAACAACATTCATCAAAATATCTTCTTTTCAGTTCAACAGATGAAAAAAAACTCATGCAGGTTTAGAACAACTTGAGGGTGAGTAAATTATGACAAGATTTTCATTTTTAGGTGAACTATCCCTTTAAAGCAACACTTCACCGTTTTTCCATATTAAACTGTTATTCCCTTTACTAAGACGAGTTGATACATTCCTCTCTCGTCTCAGTGCATGCACTCAATCGCTCTGGCGCGTGCAGACACTTTGTTAGCACTTAGCTTAGCCCAGTTCATTCATTAGGATTCAAACAGAGATGAAGTTAGAAGCGACCAAAAACCTCCACGTTTTCCCTATTTAAATACAGTTAGACGAGTAGTTACACGACCAAGTATGATGACACAAAATAAAACGTGGTTCTTTTCTAAGCGGGTAAAATGGATAACTAATGTATGGCGGAATAGCACTTGAGAGCACTTCAACTCAGCGCAGTAATATCATTTTTCAGGAGTGATGATATTACTGCACAGAGTCCAAGTACTATTCCGCCATACATTATAGTTATCCATTTTACCCGCTTAGAAAAGCGCCACGTTTTATTTTGTGTCACCTTACTTGGTCGTGTAACTGTATTTAAATAGGGAAAACGTGGAGGTGTTTGGTCGCTTCTAACTTCATCTCTGTTTGGATCCTAATGAATGAACTGGGCTAAGCTAAATGCTAACAAAGTGTCTCCGCGCGTCAGAGCGATTGAATGCACGCACTGAGATGAGAGAGGTATGTATCAACTCGTCTTAGTAAAGGAAATAACATAGTTTAATATGAAAAAACGGTGGGAGTGTTCCTTTAAAATATGTTTTGTGGCTTTCTTTGACCTCATTTTTGTTATATGCTATTCCCATTTTTAGGACTGATGACAATGAAGATATGTCCAACATTGAAATAGGTATTCTGACAGTGATTCCCGAGTCGTCTGCAACCGCTGCCGTACCCTACTCCCTGCATCTTGATGCGTCAACAACAGCAATCGTTCTGGAAGGTACAGTGGTTGTGGATGATCTTGAAAATCTTCCACAAGCAATGTGTTTGCTCTTTGGACTAATTTATGCTCGAAACCTGCAGCACTGAAGAGCACATTCGACTTCATACAGAGAGTGATTTTGTCCCTTGGCCACAAGTCACTCAAACCTAAAATCCAATCACTGAAAAATCGCCTGATGCAGTAATAGATCATGGCCATGATGCTTTGAGTGAATAGAGCTGTCTTTAAAGGAACACTCCACCTTTTTTTATCATATTAAACTATGTTATTCCCTTAACTAAGACGAGTTGATACATACCTCTCTCGTCTCAGTGTGTGCACTCAATCGCTCTGGCGCGCTAGACACTTTGTTAGCACTTAGCTTAGCCCAGTTAATTCATTAGGATCCAAACAGAAAAGCGACCAAACACCTCCACGTTTTCCCTATTTAAATACAGTTACACGAGTAGTGTAACTCGACCAAGTATGGTGACACAAAATAAAACGTGGCGCTTTTCTAAGCGTGTAAAATGGATAACTATAATGTATGGCGGAATAGCACTTGAGAGCACTTCGACTTGGCGCAGTAATATCATCACTCCTGATGATGAGAGGATTTTTTAGGAGTGATGATATTACTGCACCGAGTCGAAGTGCTCTCAAGTGCTATTCAGCCATACATTATAGTTATCCATTTTACACTGGTGTAATCATCTTACACCATTCTCGGTCGTGTAACTACTCGTGTAACTGTATTTAAATAGGGAAAACGTGGAGGTGTTTGGTCGCTTCTCTGTTTGAGTCCTAATGAATGAACTGGGCTAAGCTAAGTGCTATCAAAGTGTCGCGACGCGCCAGAGCGATTGAGTGCACGCACTGAGACGAGAGAGGTAGGCCTATGTATCAACTCGTCTTAGTAAAGGGAATAACATAGTTTAATATGAAAAAACGGTGAAGTGTTCCTTTAAGAGAACTCTAAAGAAAATTGTTCAGTGTTGTTTTACAGATACGTCAGTGTTTTCCAATTGTTGAAAATGAAAAAATATAAAAATATCCATATTTAACAGGATGTTTTGAATTTCAAGTTTACTTGTTTGGTTTTAGAATAGAGTTTTATAAGAAGAGAATTTTAAAGAGAACTGTAGTAGGAAAGGCATTCTGTACCAAACTCTGTGACTTAAACGCTCTGCTTTCAACCACTGTTGAAACATTTTAAAGATGTTAAAAACAAAGAAACATTGATGTCTTTATTGTCTTTAGTTTGTTTGTTTTTTCTTGAGTGCATTGTGCTTTATTTCTAAAATGTTGTTGGCGGGCCAGTAATGTTTTAACATTATTATTGTTGAACAAATAAACATTCTAGTGTTTTGCCAAATGTGTTGTCTGTCTTTGTATTTTCAACTTAGAATTTTGAGTACAACTTGCTTGAGAAATTTAAGGCAATCAGTTTCCACACATTCCTCTAGTAAAATGAACAAGCAGACATGTTAAATTAACTGTTTTGTTTAAGTTCTGCTTACAAATCTCAACTTAAATCTGTAAGTTGCCTAAACTTGAGTTTATTAAGTTACCTGTACTCAAGTTTTATGGTAACCTCTACAAATACACAAGTTAACTCTACAAAGAAGTAGACAGTAGTATCAAGTCAAAACTTATGACCTAATTTGCTTGAAAAATTTGAGGCAATCAGTTTCCACAGCTTTTCTTAGTAAAGTCAACTTATTACTTTTTACAGGCATCCCTTCAGAAACGAGCTGTGAGAGCAGAGCTTCCTCAACGCATCTGTCAAATGCACTTGCTCTACTTCCATTGGCAAGGCGAGAGCCTCCAAAGAGGACGCAATGCCAGGAGAGAGATATTCACAAGCAACAATACTCACACAGCCTTTCCACATGCGAATATTTGACTGTGTAGGAGACAAATATCTCGGCTCCATTATCTCGACTCCTCAATGTGGAGATCTAAGACTTCTGTGTGGCAGCAGAAGAGTTGGATTATTAAAAGCATCCGCCTCAACTTTCTCTGCACATCTAATTACCAAGAACTACACACACCACATGATATCATCTTAGGGTGTAACCGGCCTCAGAGCCACAGACTTCCTGAGCCGACACGAGAGCATTGATGCTTAATTAATATCGATATTTAATTGGAAGAATTCGCAGAGAAAGCTTCCAGATCTAAAAAAGGGACTTGAGTGCAACGGAGCTAACAGGAGAAGACCAAATAAAAGAATAATCTCATCGAACTCTTCCTCATGCTCTGCACAATCTCCACTATTGATACCCAAACCGTGAGGGGCAGACGCTCGACTCTCATCTCTCAAGACAGCGAGCGACACACAGCGAATGAATCACAATAAAACGCTTTCAGCAGATTTCCCTCTGTGCAAATACTTGCATCTCATCCCTCGAGAGAGAATCCAGCAAGCTCTTATCTTTATAAGACTGGTGCGATTACACACACGCTTCAGACACTGGTTTCCATGGATGATCCCCATAGCATGAGCAGCTGACGCAGTGTTGAGTTCCCTCGAGAGGCGACCAAATAGAGTTATAACTGAAGAAGTGATGCACAAATCTGTTATATTCATCTTTGTTTGTGTTATACTTCTGAAAATGTGTTTCTCTTTTCTCTTAGAAAGCAGCAGTTCTAATAATCTAAGCAGCTAAATATTCTTCATCATCTGCAGTCGTTGATTAAACAATGTATATTTAATATTTTTGCATTATTATTTATTATGATACAGATTCATGTAATATCAAAAATATCAAGCATTTGGTTACAGAATATACTATATAAATGTAAAATCCATTTATAAACATTCATCATAGATTCTATCAGAATATAAGATGATTGTGTATAAATGGAAATTATATTCATATGGATATTATATTTATAAGTACATTTCATACAGTACATGTTTTTAATTAATCTGATCTGACATTTACAGTAATCATTGATGTATTTGTTTTTGCTCAATGCTACATCTGTCCATCATAAAAGTGCATTATTTCACTTTTATGATGGATAGATGCACTTTTATGATTTTTATCTGACATTGCCTATAACTGAAAATGCGATGTTAACAATTGTAATTCATGCAACATTTCATAATATATTTGTTTTTAATCTCTTGTAGATATCTATTTTTTTTCTTTGCTCTATTGAGAATTTTCAATTATTGTCATTGACACTGATTTATGAAATACTGTCCAAAAAATAAAATAAAACATCCTTCTCCTAATGTTTGTATTTAATTTGTTTTAGGGGTTTAACAGCTTTTCAGTGAAGTTTCTAAAGCAAAACAATTACGAAACACAAATTAGCAGAAATGTTCAATAGAGACTGTAGTTTATGTATGTCATTATGGTTTTAGTGTGTTTGTGTTCATTTGTTACTCAGCATATATTACAAAACATGATGAAAATGGAATTTGAATTTGTTAGTTCACACAAAACTCTTCTGCATGTTAAACTCAGTTATTTCTTATACAATTAGGCGTGTCTTTATGAAAAACACAACAGATCTAAACATTTTTGACCTGTTAACAATGCATTGTTTGGCTGAGACTAAATATAATCTAGTCTGAATCAGCGCAGACAACGGTGTCATTGTTAGGTTAGAAATGTTTAGATCTGTTGTGTGTTTTTTATAAAGACACGCCTAATTGTATAAGAAATAACTTTAATATTTAATATGCAGAAGAGTTTAGTGTGAACTCTAAACATATTTTCGATTACATGAATCATATTATAACTTTTTTAACGAACCTCATATTGTTGTCTGTCCATCCGTAAGATCATAATATGATCATGATTCTATATTTTGACATACAATATGTGAGCGCATGACCCACAACATATTTGAGTGTTTCACAGAAATCATTTAAAAATATTTTGCTATTATTTTTAGAAAGCATTATGAAAGTCACGTTCTGCTGCTTTCATATTTATTGAAGTTTCTAATATTTTAATTGAAGGTTTGAACATCCTAAAATAAAGTTTTTTTTTTTTCTGCACTCATGGGTGTAGCTTTTATTGTACAGTAGTAAATTCAAATTTGTAAACCCTGCTTTTATTTCAATTGTGTGTGTTTGATACAGTTAGAAATGAAACAGTGTAAAGTGAAGCGTTTCTGTATTTGGTTGTGTTATGAGTATTTGGAGCACACGTGTGTTGTGAAACTGATGAAGATGTTTTCTTAAATGTGCGGGTGTTTTTCTATTTGCATGTGTTTTTTTTCTATGTGCATGTGTTTTCTTCAGTTGGAGCACTCAGTTCAGTTGAGCTCTCTCTCGGCCACCACATTAAGACTATCTTGCATGCATTGAATGTAATGGATGGAGATGAAAGGCGCTGGTGAAGATCTTCCACTAAGGCTCAACTCCCTCGAAACGAACTGATTCATCATGCACATCAGCTAATAAAGATTATCAGATGAGTCAAGCGATTAAATAAGGAAATAATATACATTGTAAACAGTTTTATGGTTGAAAATGAAATAGACTGCTCAAATGAGGATGTGTTGAATGTGCTGGACAAGCACAAATTACTTAAAGCATAATTTGAGCTTGACCTGCAAACTTAAGGGTCATTGTTGGAGGTGTTATGTGTGTGGGTGGATGTGTGTAGGTGTGTGTGTGGGTGTGTGTGGACGCAACATGTTTAGAGTTGTTAGGAACACATGTATTTTTAAAGGGATCTGTGAACATCGTTTGCCTCAGATATAGAAAATGTGTGAAACTAGAGAAAGGTCAAAAGGGCTGCGACGGTCAAAAGCTTTTGTGTATGTGCAGCATTACATAAGTGTGAAAAGGAAACATATATTTTGAATATGTGCTTCTGCAAGCTTATGTAAATAAAGGATAAGTCCAAAGTTTTACCTTATAAGGGAATAAGCTGTACTATAATGACAGCCCATAGTTAGAAGGCGGCCTATAGCAGGGTTAGTATAAAATTTTTGTGGAGAGGTTTGTTCTAACCTACCCTAACCCTAACCCCGCCCCTAAACCTAACCCAGACCCGCCCCTAAACCTACCCCTGACCCCGCCCCTAAACCTACCCCAGACCCGCCCCTAAACCTACCCCTGACCCGCCCCTAAACCTACCCCAGACCCGCCCCTAAACCTACCCCAGACCCGCCCCTAAACCTACCCCAGACCCGCCACTAAACCTACCCCAGACCCAGCCCCTAAACCTACCCCAGACCCGTCCCTAAACCTACCCCAGACCCGCCCCTAAACCTACCCCAGACCCGCCCCTAAACCTACCCCAGACCCGCCCCTAAACCTACCCCAGACCCAGCCCCTAAACCTACCCCAGACCCGTCCCTAAACCTACCCCAGACCCGCCCCTAAACCTACCCCAGACCCGCCCCTAAACCTACCCCAGACCCAGCCCCTAAACCTACCCCAGACCCGTCCCTAAACCTACCCCAGACCCGCCCCTAAACCTACCCCAGACCCGCCCCTAAACCTACCCCAGACCCGCCCCTAAACCTACCCCAGACCCAGCCCCTAAACCTACCCCAGACCCGTCCCTAAACCTACCCCAGACCCGCCCCTAAACCTACCCCAGACCCGACCCTAAACCTACCCCAGACCCGACCCTAAACCTACCCCAGACCCGCCCCTAAACCTACCCCAGACCCGACCCTAAACCTACCCCAGACCCGCCCCTAAACCTACCCCAGACCCGCCCCTAAACCTACCCCAGACCCGACCCTAAACCTACCCCAGACCCGCCCCTAAACCTACCCCAGACCCGCCCCTAAACCTACCCTGACCCCGCCCCTAAACCTACCCCAGACCCCGCCCCTAAACCTACCCCAGACCCAGCCCCTAAACCTACCCATCACGTGGGTTTAGACAAATCGTACAAATTCATACGAGTGAGGTCGTACGGATTCTTACGAATTAGCCACCTTTTAATCACTCGTACAAATTCGTACGAATTGGTCGTGAGATAGCGTAGGAAATTCGCATCCGAAATTTTTGCACGTTAAAAAAAATTCGACCTCACGATATGTCAATCACGCCTGCACACTGCCTCTGAAACTTTCGTCCGTCATTAAAAAAAAATATCGGATCGGGTTCGATTTTCTGTGTTTTTCGCATCCGCAGTTTGAATGGTGTTTGAATGGTGTTTTGACAATTCAGAGCCACCGAATCACGAATAGGAAAAAACGCATACGAAAATTTCGGACTCAGTGTGCAAGAGCCTTAAGAGTATAATTTTTCCCTATTAATATTTCATGATTTTGTTTTTGTAATGAAATATTAATATTAGCAAACGCCCAGTGCATTTGAATCCAGGATTGAACTGGTAGAGGCACCGCCGAGGATCCTGAATCAACATCTGACATCTTTACTCTAAAGGCAAGGGCAATATTTGAGCAGCAGATTATGGTAATGTCGTAGAAGGATCTATAGAGGTTACAGTGGGATAAAAATACAACACTACAAATAAAGCTTATGCTGTTAGACACTTGACAAAACAGTGTTGTCTCTGAGTGAGATACAAACACGTGGCTCACGGTAAATCAAGAAAACAATAAGACTAACCATGTTGAGCTATATAACAATGATTCATTTTTTGTTGATAAATTGTGGGATACACAAGTCAACAAAATATTTAACATAGTTCTAGTGGTTTTTGGATATTTTAAACCAGGAATCTTACATATTGTGCCTTTATTGTGACTTTTTTTTTTTTTTTACAGTTTTACACACTGTCGTATAAACTAAAATCGTTTTACAGTTTTTCTCGATTGCCCAAACACATTTAACTTGCTCTGGATCAGGTTTTATTCTGGGTTAGACATCGCAGACCGAAACTGGGCCAATCAGCTGTGAGTAAAGTGACATTTAATATCTGATGCCACAAAGCCACTTCCCCTGATCTCTCGCTCCAAATTAAAGCGGTTTAAAGTGAAAAAATTTTAGACACAAAATTGCTCATCTTTTGCTGCTAATTATTTATTATATTTATATTATGTGAATTGTAGTTATGTATAATACATATGATATATTCTTGGAATTATTATATTAATTTACAATTTATATTAAACTTTGCTTTTAAATTAATATAAAACTTTAAAATATACACTTTTAAACAGATTCAGCTTATTCTTTAGAGCTTTTTGTGAGACTATATAAGGCCTATTTGTTTGATTCATTTGCATTGTTACAGTCAGATATTTTATTTCAGCTGCCTTTGCAAAGTTTCGGTGCAGCAGTGTTTATTCCTGCCATGGAAATGCATTTCATTTCATTATTTTTATATTGGTCTCTTGATTTTCAGAAGAGAAGATTCAATACTCACTGAATACTGCACAGGATACACAATGTAAAAAATAAATCTGTTAAATAACAGTGAATGTACTGGCAGCTTATTGTACAGACATTTCCATTAACCCTAAAATGAAGTTCAAAATTCTGGTAAAACACTTGTAAAAAACAGGTACGCTGTGCCCTATATTATTACGGATTTTTTTTAGACTGCACTACAACATCACAACACATTCTTGACTCTGGTTATTTCATCAGAATGCTACAAGTTTTAACATTTATAAACCAGATTAGATTAAAAATGTAAAGTATTATTTGTTTGTTGATAACAATTGTGATTCCATTAACATGATAATGACCTAAACTATGGAATTACATGGAATAAACTGGCATTTACTTTTTGCTTCCGAATTTGTAACTCTGAAGTTTTGAGCTAGAGCTCATACGATGTACTCACATTTGTTTACTACAAAAGACACCAATTCATAGTTCTGCAAGA